GGAGGCAGGGGCCGTGTACAGTAAAGCGCCGGCCCCACGTAATATCGCAAGCACGTGTCAGCTGGCGGAGTATCCACCTGTTGCGATAATGTTCTCGGCCCGTTCCGAGTGTCCTTAAACACAAAAACAACATCGAAATATTAATAATATTATGATCGTAACATTATAATACGATATTACAATGTTTATAAATCCGTTTTCCTCAAACACAAAAATAATCTCAATACAATAATATACGATAATGTCTAAATGCGTCCTAGCAGGCGCTTAAATAATACAAATAACTATCAAACAATAGTTAAATAATGTACCCTACAGGTGGGTACCTATTCTTTTAATGGAACCATTTATTATTTTTTTGTGTTGGAAAATTATTTACTACATACCTATATATTAATGGTTTTAATGATAATAGTATTCCCAGACATTGTGTACCTATATTTGTAATTAAACATTAACAACGATTGGAGCAGTAAAACTGCTTCGATTTTCAACTTCAGTATTTTGTTCGATGGGAAAGTGAATCTAGTTGGTGCTTATGGGGAGGTCAACAATTTTGGTTTTTGGTGTAACTCTAAAACAAATGACCGTAGATGCATTCGACTTTAAATTCGCATAATATGCTTTACACGATAAAAATTTCAAAATATTCGTTTTGAACTGTTTAGGGTTTAAGACATTTTTATTTTCCTATTTATTAAGTTTTTTGTCAATACAATTTTATCTGTTGAAAATTGAATACAAGACTCTTAATAAATTGTTACAATGACATTTGAAAAGTATTAAAAATCAACTTTTAAATCCAATTTAAAGTTCAAATGTTGACAAAACACGTAAAAATCACGAAAATGTGCAAATTATTTTAAGTTATAAATTCATAAAAAATTGTCTATTTAAATCTAAGATTTGAAAGTAAAATTAAATTTTCAAGAGCGTTTGAAGTTATAATACAATAATGTTTAAATTCGTTTACCTTGGACGCAGAAATAAACTCTGAATAATAATATACGATAATGTTTAAATGCGTCCTTACTGGGGCTTAAATAATACAAATAATTATCAAACAATAGTTATAGTTAATGTACCTATAAAAGTTGCTGACATTGACATAGCTATCTATTTTGTCGTGGTAATAAGTCTAAAAACTAATAATGACAGCCGAACGTTTCGGACAACGGGTTAGCTAGAACAGCACATCAAAATACAAACATAGGTAATCAAAAACGTACCTATTGAATTTCGACCATTATAATATTATTGGTAGACGGGAATGGTAGGTACGTACCAGAGTGTTTAGTTGTCTCTAGTGCTACGATTATCGACTAAGAAAACTTAAGGTTAAGAATAATTCTGGACAATATAAACTTGTAGTTTAAAAATAAAACAGAAATCTAACATTTACCGCCGGACTTTCAACGATCGGCGGTGGTAAAGAACAATAATAATGTTCTGTTTCAATAATATCCGCGACGGTTCCCTTAAACACAAAATTATTATAATATTATTTTCCCTATTCGAAGGTGGGTAAGTCAAAAAGGCGAACATTTTAACCTCGTCGCACGGAATTGGTTCCAGATAAAAACATTACCTATGTCTCGCTATTATTTTTTATCATTACCTGTATAAAAGTGTTGTAATTTATTTAAATTTAATACTATATAATTTACCGTAAACAGACGCCGAAGTGCTGTTGTGTACTGCAGGTGAATCCAGTCATCGACGATTCGTTTCCATCTTATGATCGTCCTTAGATTCAGTAGTACCAATATCATATAAGTAATCGACCAACGACACCGAAGACTGTTAGGGACATTATACTGATGATTGCATACAATATACGATTGACAATAAATGTATAAATCGCAAGCAGCGTAGAGTGGATAACGAACGTTTGTTGTGAAGTGAACAGATTCTATAAAACATATTCGTCGTCAAGTATATGGAAGTACCTTAGTGATTCTATGCAGCCAGATAGGTGCCTATATTTATTCGAATAATAATTTTTTTTCAAACAAATAAAATATAATATTACAATTTTGTTCCCCATAATTACTATTATAACATTCGCTCGCGTGTGCCCGAATGATAAGTATACTTGAAATCATCAAATGAAAATGTCTAGTACTCAGTTGATCAACTGTTCCATGGCCAACTCCATGAATATATTTTTGATTTCAGTTAATTTTTGGTCTACCTTCTGAAAAATTCTTGGTGTCTCTTATTTTAGATTCTGAGTGGAACGATGAATGTATTGGTTTTACAATGATGTGTGTTTTTTATTTTTTTTGTGTCTGTCATCAAGTTTTAGGACAGTAAAAGTGCTTGGATTTTCTTCAACAGTAGCTTTTCTGAGAGGAAAGTGAATCTAGTTGGTACTTTGGGGGGTCAAAAGTGAAAAGTTCTCAGTAGTTTTCAAAAGCGGTGTGAAAAACAAAATAAAAATTAAGGAAAAACGGGAATTTTTACACTAAAATCGGTTTTCGAAAAAATCGATTTTGGTTTTTGATGCAACTCTTAAACAAATGACAGTAGGTACATGCAATTTTGACTGAATGTTTATATTAGCATTTTATATACACCATAACATTTTCAAAATGTTCTGATTTATTTTGAACTGTTTAGGCTTATTTTCATTTTCCATTTTTTTTTTAGTTTTTTTTCTAAAAATATCAATAACATTTTATTTGTTGGTTAAAAATGCTTGAAAATTTAATACAAGGCTCCTACTATATTGTCACAATGTCATTTGAAAAATATTAATAACCCTTAGTCACAGTTTTTTTTAATAAGCATTTAAAGTCCAAAAATTGACAAAATATGGATAAATCACGAAAATTAGCAAATTATTTTGAGTTAAGAATTCGTAAAAATTTTTCTTTTTAAATCTAAGGTTTTAAAATGTAATACGAGATTCCTTAAAAGATTATCTACTTTTATCAAAACAAAAATGTCTATAAGAAAGTCAAATTAAACTTTTATGAACGTTTGAAATTCAAATTTTTACAACATTGGATATTTACTCGATTTCTCATGTAGCGATTTCGTTATTTTGTTGTAATTCAAAAACGAATAACTGTAGATACATGAAAAATTCACTGAATATTTATATTAGCATTTCCTATACACTATACCATTATGAAAATATTTTGACTCTTTTTGAGCTGTTTACGGACATTTTCAGTTTCCAATTTTTTTAGTTTTTTATTCTATAAATATCAATAAAGCTTAATCTGTTGGGCCAAAAAGTGCAAAAATTTAAAACAAGGCTCCTGATATATTGTTACAATATCAGTTGAAAAATATTAAAAATACATGGGCACAATTTTTTTTTATAAGCATTTAAAGATCGAATTTTGACAAAATGTATCAAATTTAAAATTGATAATTTTTTTGTAGTTAAAAATGTATAAAATGTTCAACTTTTATATCTAAGGATTGAACATTTTATACAAGATTCCACGTAAGTAGATAATTCTGTTACCAAAAAATCTAAAAAATACATATCTAAGCACAGTTTATTTTTATAGTCATTTTGAGTTCAAATTTGGACGAAATTACATAATAAAAAACCTAGAATAACTATTTTAGTTATGTTGTTGTGATTGTGGGAACTTGAAACTTCTAAAGTTCACTTTTATATATCTATGATAAGATCAGGGTTTGTTGTTGATGTATAACGCGTTATAAGTACCTAATTGATATTGTGATATGATTCATTTTGAATTTATTATGGGTACCTATTATATTTCAATTGTTTTTTTAATACCATTATAGATATGTATATAATATGTGTTATACCTAGACTGACATACCGTCTTCGCTCAGAATCGTTTTTCTTATAAGTACAATGATATTATATCATTGAATTCAAATTTAATACCAACCATTATACATTGACCCACTTGTAACCTACTGTACAGCAGAGCACCTTTTTTGATTTGGTTTTTCTGTGTCTCGTTTTTCTTGGCGAACACTATATAATGGAAAAATGGGATTTTGACCTCCCTAATGCAAAAACTAGATTCACTTTCCCATCGAAGAAGATAGGTACTGAAGTTAAAAATCGAAGCATTATTTCGACTATTTACCGTCGAAAATAATACACAAATAATAAAAATAATAAATAAATGCTAGGATGGTGGATATGGTGGTACGTTGGATATAAATAGTGCCACAGTGGCATAGTGCAGAAGTTTTTGATGTCAATATTCAAGAATGGCAAATTTTTATCTATAGTGGGTACGTCTATTGTATGCTGGGTTGTATAAGCAATTTATTAAATTTAATGGTTCACTAAAAATTTAATGGACCAATCGTGGGCCACTAAATCTTGTTTAAGGGACCATTAGCTCACTATTGATTCATTATATTTTTTATGCAACCCAGCACCATCCGTGATCCATTTAGGTAAAGTAACACGTAAGATACTCATTATTTCAAAAACTATTAACGTTTTTGAAAATATTTGTTGTACATATTTTTAAGTTATTAAAAAACAAAATTGTTCCATAAGTAAATTATATTGTTTAATGTTTTTAATTTTTTTATGACAACATGCATTTTTATTCCAAAGCAAAATATTTTATATATTTTTATTTTTAATTATTTTTAAAATTGCAATTATATAAGCAGTTACTCAAATTCTTATAGAAAGTGCAATTTATATTTACCATCTTATAAAACTTGTTTTAAAACATTTTTCAAATAATATATTTCCTTTAAATAATAAAAAAAAAAAAAATTAATTGTCATACAAATATAAATAATTCACATACGATAATGACCAGCCATTGACCCATACACTGTATACCAAATTTGCACATACAAAGAAAATATTAACTTAATATAAGTACAGATAAAACAGAACGATTAATATTATTGAGTATTTAAATATAAAAGTAAAAAAAAAAATAACTGATCAGATGGATGACTGCCAAATCCGTGCCTCGAGTTGTGTTTTGTTACTTTGTCAAGATTCATACTTATTGTGAACATCGGTTTTATAAGTTATTATCATCATCAAAATTATTGTTTTGAATATTCAATAGTAATATTTTATTGAGCCGATCAAATGTGTTTTCAATCATCTTTTTTTCTTCTTCATCCCACGTATTGTTTATTAATTCTTTGACATTCGCAGATAAAACATTCAGAAAATCATTTGGTTCTAAGAATCTGCCTAGATTTAACAATGAACGAGCATACTGAAATCATAAATAATAATTATATATTTAAAGCAGTCGAGTGTTTTTACTTATAAGTTAAGTAACTGACTAACACCCAATAGTTTATGATTTGAAATAATATATAAACAGAAAATAATATTATAAAAATATAACCACATTTGATAAGAATATCAAAAGTACGGTTTAAGATGTGTGAAATTGAGTATCTAACTACTTGGTAATAACCGAACATAAGCTTGAGCAGACTTTTGTAGTCGCTGATAAAATGTGCTCCCCAAAAATATAAATAACCCTAAATAAATGCTCATAATATGCTTTAAAATATTTATGATGACGATTTTTTTTTTTTTATCATACCTATACATTTTGTTCATTTTGTTAGTTTTTCTTTCTAAATTGTTATTTGGTAACTATCATAATGGTATGCCCTGCTCTAAAAAAATGTTTATACCAGCGTATACAAGCGCATATCCCATGAGCAAGCCTATGTGGCCCAATATAATTAAAATTTACATTTTCATAACCTGATTAATGTAATAATTAACTTGAAAAATATGGAGGTAAGAAGCTTGAAGCTCCTTTATATAATTTGAACATTTTTTGGAGGTTTGATACGTATAAAAAGTAATTTATATATGATTTACTTACTATTAGGTGACGTTTTTTAGAAGCATCTTCGATATCTTGATCAATGTATAATTTTAGGTAGCGCATCATTTCTTTTGGATTATTTTCACAGAAATTGTAATAAATCAATATATGAATTAAAATATTAACCCTTCTTTTGGGGTCTTGAAAATCATTGTACATCTCATTTAACGTCCGAACATAAGGAAATTCATGGACAGATTGTAACAGGCATTCTACTTTTATTAACTGCAATGAGCTATTGAAATTACCATAAACCTTTCCACGAGAGAAATAAGTCTTAGCTTTTTCATAATCCTAAAACAAAATGAAAATAAAAATAATTTTTTTCCCAACAATCCATTTTTAAATATCATACTTTTTCACGGTTTAGATAATATTTGCCTATACTTAATTGCACAAAGCCATTTTTAATGTTTGTCAGTTTTGAAATTATATGGTCTATAAAGTTGTCTGACAATAATTGTTTTGGATACTGTAAACAAGACAGTAATATAGAGTTTAGTTTGTTTGGATCATCCTTTGCCAATTCAATCGATTTTCTATCAAAAATTTATGAAATTGTTAAATCAATAAAATATTAAAACATAATGGGATGGTTGGCAAAACAATAAACATAAAAATAGATTTTATTTGATTGTAATAATGTTTAAAAAATATGTATTAATACCAAAATCACAGGTTAGTCTCAAAAATGTATAGTTTTGTACGCCTATGGGATAGGCCATATAAATTTGAGTTATTAATTTTCATTAATTATCAATACCTTTTGGTTGACGTATAGATCTACTACCTACTTACTTAGCTATTTTATGCGAATAATCAAAAAAATGTTTTGACTGTCCATAGTTTTTGTTTACTTTATTGATATAACCTGCTTCCTGACAAAGTCGATAGGCATTAATCATAAATTTAGGCTTTGTTTGTGTTTTGTATAAATGTAAAGCAGCATCAATTTCTTCGTCCCCGGGTATTGTGTATGGTGCATTATGATGTCTTACTAACTTTTTGGCTTTTGACCAAATTAGTAGCCATTCAGATTTCAGGTAAATAATCAAGGGCAAGGGCTCGTTCAGTCAATTCTAAAGCAATATAATTTCCTTTTGGAGGATATTCCATAAAAATTATGGCTTTTACCGCACAAATAGCAGCTTCCTCGGTTTTATTAAAATTTTTAATTGGTTTCACATCATTCAGTAACTAAAAAAAAAAAAACGTTTGTAATTTATATTAACAGGTCTCATCGGGGCCAGCTCAGGGTATAGGCGAGCTAGGCACCGACCTAGAGCGGCACTTTATTAGGGGCGGCATTTTCAAAACAGTGATAATAACATTATTATTATTTTAGCCTTTAGGAACTGAAAAATTTGATTTTGCCCAGTGCCCTATTTTTGCATTAAACGGCCGTGGGTCGCATCTTATATATTTAGAGGCCATATTGAAATAATATGTATAATATATTTTTAACGCATTGGATTATTTAGTTAGCCAAAAATGTTTATAATTAATCTATAACCAAAAAACCCGAAACATGTTTAACCATTCAAGCACAAATAATTTAATAGGTTAACCAGTAGCATTACAAATAATAGAAAGTGACACTGTTCATAACATTATGTTGAGGGATTCCTTGCAATTAATAACTTGTGAATCTAATGCAATATTACATACTAAATAATATTGATAATTTGTACTTATTAAGTAGGTGAGTACATTTTATACAAAGTAAAAAAGTATTGATAAAATATTTTTTGAATGGTCATAAAAATGTAACACAAAATTCTTAAAAAGTTATAAAATTTAAGTACCATTTAAAAATCAAATATTTATATTACCATCGATTATAAATACTAGTATTCTAACTAATTTCTTTGTTATTAAAAAATATTTTGAGGGCATTTGAAACTTTTACATATTACATTAGGTAGCTTTTCTTGAACTATATAAGTGATGAACAAATAAAGATTTTGATGGAATTCAGATGATTTATGTATATCCCAGGAGAAAACGCTTTCAAAATCATTTTTGATTTTTTTTAGCTGTGTCTGAATGTAGTCGTCCAATCTGAGTTCTATCCAGTGGTCGTCGACAGACAAAGCGCCCATCTTGTCAGACAAGTTATCATCGTCATATACGGCCATTTTTCAAAACACGAGTGTACCTACTAAATCGACAACAACACAAAAAGGTGTTATTAGTTCTATAATATTGTTAATGACAAATGTACCGTCTGCTTAATTCATGATTAGTGCATTCAAATATTCAATTAACATATTCAACAACAATTTTGGCAAAATCATATTCCTAATTAATATACTATAGTATACAATATCATCTAGGTTCGTGAAATTAAATAAATGGCTAATGACTAATGATACTAATAACTTACTATAATAGGTTAGGTATTAATACACTTTTTTCTATGTACAAAATTGAGGTGTTTTTGATATTAAAGATATCATATACACGTAATCTATTATTGAATTATTTATAATTTAAAATCAATGCACACAATACACATAGGTAAATCATATAAAATAAAAATTACAAATATAAAATTTATTTCGAAGTCTGGTCTATATGAGTTTTTAAAATATGATATTATTATAATATATTATAATTATTATTGGTATATTATTACGTAATGGCTAGGTAAGAGGACTTGTAGCATTTGTATATTTGTTTTGCACATTAAAAAACATTTTATTATTAAAATATTGACATTTTGATATTTTATTGACGGAGCCATAGGGTTATCGCTGCACTCTTAGAGAAATAGGATGGCTCCAGCGTATCATGTTTTAAGGAGTACCTAATATTTATGCAATTCAAATTAAATATTTGAGCTATGTCTATGTGTGAGTAGTAAATGAACATTAGTGTGTTTTCGACGGCTAACCGCCGCCTGATGCAACTCTGCTCGTACACCACAAAAAAATGAAAAAAACACAATATTAACTTGGATTTTACACTGTTTTAAACAATGAACAAAACGTTTAAGACAAATTTGTCAAATCAAAACAATAAGTTTTGAATTCATGTTAAAAACAAGTATTGTTTTAAACATAACAAACCTCAGCACATGTCAATAATTCGCGAAAAATAAAATATAATCTTGTTTGCAATACTATATAAAAATTAAAAACTACTAAAAGCTGTAGTAAATCAAACATAATAGATACTTCCTGAAGTTCGGTTGTAATTTCGGAAAAAATGGTTGAATTTACAAGCTTCTAGACTATAATTATGCTCTTTAAGAGTCACTTTTTTGATTTAAAATCAGATGCGCCCAAAATAAATAGAAATTTAACGCAATTATTTCATTGGATTTTTAAAAAAAAAATCTTATCTATTGGGTCCTTTAAAATTTAAAATTTAAAATTGATTTCCCAAAAAGTCTAGATAATATGTTTTCAAAGAGTTCATACATGTATAAAAAAAATTGAAATCGGACATTTCCAAGTATGAGTGCTTAATTTACCATCGCTATTATTGCGCTAAAACATGTGAAAAATACGTGTGCTGCGATCCCCTTTAAAGCCGGCAGGTAGTATTTCAGGTATTTGTGTTACACAACTGCTATGATATTTTATTATTAGGTAAGTATAACACGAATGGTATAGTCCAAAATTGGAGGTGTGCACTTCAAATTTGAGAAGTAGGTATGTACTAATAAAATATAAGACTAATAATAGTAATGCAATATACGTAGGTACAGTATATAAGGTACAGGTATCATTGATTAAATATACTATTATATTATCAATGACTGTATAACATTTTTGCATTTTTAAAAATGAAAATCTTTTATGATAGGTAACAAAAATAAATTGTTTTCAGTTACCTTTTACCAAATTGATCTTTACTCGTCTACTTTGAATTGTGAATAGTGAACACGCTGGGAAGTCAGTAGTCGGTAGTCGCCAGTCGGTATAGATACCAACAACTATCGAGAATAGGATAACTTTTTTCAAAATTGTATCGAAATAAATGTATAAATGTATAATAATAATATTATTAATATTTTATATTTACATTACCAAGGTATATCGTATATAATATGTATACAAAAAAGTATGTTTTAAACTAATTACAACGATTAAATAAGTAATAAAACAACTAACGACCAATTTAAAATTTGTTACACTCACAATATTAGTTTAAAAATTAGAGCCACTTATCTATATATATATATATATTTATAATTATTTTTTATCTGTGTACATTTTAATGCCACTCAATTTCTGTAATTACTATACAAGTACTAAACATTGTACCTATATATCCTTACATTATTTATGTAATTTCCCGATTGAGCGTGATTTAATTAAAATAAATAACTAAATGTAAACATGATTATGTAAGGCATCTCATAGGCTTTTTGTTATATTTCAATTTTGAAGCGAGTATGGATAATAATAATAATATTATACAAACAATTTACAATTCTAAAATACTCAGTTATGGCTTTAAAATTAAAATATAACAAAAAGCCTATAAGATGCCCTAGATAACAATCTTACCTTTAAATTTTATAGGTAAGAAGTAAATTCACTCTAATTTTTAAACTAACAGAGTTAAACGTGATCTGCTGAACTATCTGCATAACTATGTTACGCACTTGTAAGACGGATACAACAAATTTCGGTGTACCTAAAGTCCTCTTAAGTAAAACTTAAATCCAGTCCTGAACACTTTCTTTAGGTAGTAATAAAAAAATATAAAAAAAATACATTAAAAATAATTATTTTGTTATTGATATTTTTTATAATAAACATATTATTATAGGCAATAAAAATATTTAATCCAGTAATGTAGGTAAGTACCTAGTTTATTTTTATGATGTTTTTAAATTTACACATTTCTTGAAATAATTCATTAATCTGAAACATAATAATTTTGAAAAAAATATTTTAATTTTAACAATTACTTATTCAAAATTTCTCTTAAAATATTTAAAAGTTTATATTTTTGGAATTTGAAATGGTTTTTACAACTGGACCAATATTACTTCAAAAAAATAAGGAGATAACAAAAAATTTTAAAAAATAAACTAAATAACATAATAAATGATATTACATTCAAAATTTTTCTAATAACCAGATTTACAAACGGCAGGCCATTTTTTTTTTTCAGTATTAAAAAATAAAAAAAGCGGGTAAGTGGTTGTCGCTCTTCTGTACAGTAGGTTACAAGTGAATGACTGTTAAAGATGGTGTTAAATTTGAATTCAATGATATAACAGTATTATTATCATTGTTTAAAAAAAACGTTTCTGAGCGGAGACGGTTTGTCAGCCAATGATATTTTATATTATGTTTATAATATTTATATTGTTATTATTAATACGGTAGCTGATTAAGTTAAATTATTGTTATTTGTTTATTCACTTATTTGTACACAATAATATACTTAAGAAGTTTCAAGTATCCACGAATAATATTTTAAAAATATAACAAAAGACTAAAGTCATTCTTCTTCGTTTAAATATCAAATTTCATCAAAATTTAAACATAAAATAATAACCATAAAAAAAAACTGTGTTTTTATATTTTTTTAGATATTTTGGTTACAGAATAACCTAATTACGTCGAACCTTGTTTTAAATTTTCAATCCTTAGCTATACACTATACAGTCTATACAGGGATGGGCAAGTTACATTACACAGTGTAACTGGATACAAGTTACAAGTTACTTTAATTTTGGGTAACTGATTGCAAGTTACATGTTATATATATCCTGAGTAACTGGTTACAAGTTAAAGTTACTGTAACTTAGTTACATTATAAGTTACAAGTTACACATAATTTATTAAATTTTTGTAAAAATAATAATATAATTTTCAGTCAATAAAATTTATTTTTACAATATGTTAAAGCTAATATAATACATGTTTACTATTCTATGCAAGTATTTAAAATTATATATTATTTATTAATTATAATATATTAAATAATTACTTATATTACATATATACTTATACTTATACATAATATTTTAAATGCACAAAACACAATTTACATCAAAAATTGAAATTATCTTGGTTAGTTATATTACTTATATTATATATTATATTATTATTTAGTATTTACTATGGTTAGGCCAACTAAGGTTAGGAATATCATTAATGGTCACATAATTTATAATAAATTTCAAATGAGTGGATAATTTTTATCTTAGTTTTGTTACATAGATATTATATTATTTAAAATTATATTACACTTTTAATAACTATTGATAAGCATATAAATGTACATAAAAAATGTTTAGTTTTTAAAAATCAATTAAAAACGAGTCAATCATACTGACCATATTGTCCATATTATTAGCACTATAACTTACAATATATTTTAATAATATTACCTATAAATATCATTTCCTTTAAGAAATACAAGTTTTTCGAAATTAGTGTTCGATAAATTACTTCTATTTGGAGCATGAATAAATCCAGCAAATGAAAACAATCTTTCAACTGGAGCTGATGATAGTAAACTTGTATTGTATCTGATGAATAATTTTTTTATAATAGGGTAACTGTCTAAACATGTTAATGCCTTATTTTTATTATTAAAAAACTGAACTACTTCTAAATTAGCCCTAGAATCAAAACATTGTTCCTGAGAAGAAAATATCAAAAAGTCTTCATCGTCTACATTATCTACTGATAACTCAGTGTGAGAAGAATTCTCTATATATTTTTCAGCAATGTTGATACAAAGATTTTTAACTCTATTTTTCATAATTTCATCGTGTTCAGGAATCCATCTTAATTTAAATGTAGGATGAAAACAAGATGCCAATATAGCTTCATCAACTTCAGGGGAGAGATCAAAATATAGTTTGAATCGTTTTTCTAGCGAGGTTATTAATGGATCGATAAAAGTGAAAGTATAACGCAAATGTTGTTCCTTTAATATTAGTAATCGACTTTTCAATGAAAATAAAGTAGGAATTAAATGGCTATAGTAAAAATTTGATTCGCTTTGTAGATGATCCAGAGCACAAGCGATAGGTTTCATTAATAAAACAAATTCAGTCAAATAACTTATGTCAGTTTCGTTACGATACTTTTAACTGAAGTTACATGTATCTATTGTTACAAGTTACAAAACGAATTGTAACTCGTTACATTTAAAAGATGCTTAAAAATTGTGTAACCGATTACAAGTTACAAGTTACAAAAGTAACAGGGTTACGTAACTTTGATACATGTAACTGATTACTGCCCAACCCTGAGTCTATACAAGTTGAACATTTTATAAATGTTTATAACTACAAAATCATTTTTAAATTTTAAATTTGATACATTTTGTTAAATTCAAACTTTAAATGCTTATGAAAAAATATTGTGTCAATGTATTTTTAATATTTTCAACTGCTATTGTAACAATAATATATCAGGAGACTTTCATTAAATTTTCACACTTTTTGACCAAACAAATTTACCGGTTTAATGAAATGTATAGAAAAAGAAACTAAAAACATTCAACATTTAAAATGTCCGTAAACAGTCAAAACAAGGCAAAATATATTGAACATTTTATCAAGTATTAAAAAAATAAATATATGACGTGAATTTCAAGAAGGTATTTACACTGTTCGTTTTTGAATTACAACAAAATAAGAAAATTATTGCTACATGAGTCATGGGAAATCGAGTGAATATTGTTGTTAAAATTTGAACTTCAAACGCTCATAAAAATTTGATTTAACTTATGACACTATTGTGACTATGTATTTTTCATATTTTTCAACAACCATTGTAACAATATAATATTAGGAGCCCCTAATATTGTATTAAATTTTCAAGTTTTTTGACCCTACGAATAACATTTTATTGACATTTATAAAAAATAAAATAAAATTGGAAACTGAAAATGTCCGTAAACAACTCAAACACAATCAAAATATTTTGTCGTGTATAGAAAATGCCAACATAAACATTCAGTGAAAAATGCATGCAACTATGGTCATTTGATTTAGAGTTACCTGCAATAAAAACCAAAATCGATTTTGTCAAAAACCGATTTTGCGTAAAAATTCCCATTTTTCCGTAATTTTTTTTTTTGTTTCTACCTGGCGCCTTTGAAACCTACCTGAAATTTGAAATATGACACGAAAACTGTTGATGTGTCAAATTGTATTGTTGAAAACTAGATAAGCTTAAAATAAAAGCAATTTATTGGGTACATTGCTGGTCCTACAACATTTTAATTAGCCAAGTTTTAACATATTATATATAATGTTACACTTATAATTTTAAATTTTGACCTCCCTATTGCATCAAATGGATTCACTTTCCCATTGAACAAGATACTGAGGTTGAAAATCGAAGTATTATTTCGACTACTTGTCGTGTACACAGACGCAAAAAAAAAATTTAAACAACACTCATCATTGAAAAACAATATATTGTTCGCTATACGCAATGTAAAATGTTGCGTTAACGTGTAATTATTTATTAATTAGAACAAAAGTTATTTCATTTGTCAGGTCTACCTGTTATCCAGGGGTGGCGTACCTTTTTTGGGTCAAGTGCCAAAATTGAAAATTTAAAATCAAGTTTTTTGAAATATGCCAAAAAAAAAAACGAATTTCACTAGATAAGATGAAAAGAAAAATCATGCAATAATAATTACACACATTTTAAACGGCTGACAAATGTGCAATTGTATTGTTATCGCAACCGGTCGCGGTATCGGTAAATTTAAAATAAACTTTGTTTTCAAATGTTGGGTACTTTGTACTTCATCGTGGCGATAAGAGTACAAAAACCATAAATATTATTTATTATAACATCTACAAACACATTTTATTACAAACTTATAAATTTGATTCTTAAAATTTCTCGTACTAAAGTTTTAAGATATAATTTTTTTTTTAAGATAAACAGGTACTATTTGAGTGCCACTTCGTGCCATAGGTTCGCCACCCCTGTGTTATAATATACCCTCTATATGATATTATATGATTAATATGAATACTATTATTATACTCATTACTCATTACTAGGTAGTCATCGAATTTGACACTTATTCCGCAAGTAGATTATTCGAAATTGAATGATATGTGACAGAGGTAAACGAAATACGAAATACTACCTACCTACAATAGTTCGTGTTTAATAAAATTGTAGCTTACTTTCAAACGTCTGCGCAGTGAGAGCGTCTCACTATGCCCTCAGCCTCGCGCCGTTGACTTGCAGGTAATCACCACTTCGTCGAGTCAGAGTATCCAGCACACGACTTATTTTTGCTTTATAAATATAATATACTAGAAAATCGATCAAGGCATAATAAACATCAAAATTATAAAGAGACTTACTATAATTTAGTGAGCGACGAGCGTACATAAGAGTCGGAGACGCTTCTACTTCTGAAGGAATCGATCACTGTTGCGTCTGTTGCTGGATGATTACTGTAACTATAATATATAGGTACACTTACACTGCTGTCCTGCCAAAAAGTATAAATATTTCAGACGTGCCAGTCGATGCGCACTGGAAGGCTGAGGCTACGCACCCGCCACCCTTCTTTTATTATTCTTGAAACAATATCGGTGCTTTGTTCTCATATCGGCCAGTTTGTTATGGATGTGGACATTTGGTATGTTTGTTATTGTTATTGGTAATGCTGTGAGTGATCGATTGTAGTCTCGTTACATAATATTACGATTACGCCTCGGCGATAATTATTTATATTTTCGAGAGAATCACGTACAATAATAATATTATGCAAGTACACGAATATTATGGTTACATCATTATAATATTATAGATTTGTTATAAAACGTATATCGAACAACGAATAGTAAGAAACATTGAAGCCCGTTTTACATTTTTTTTTTTTTAAACTAATGGTATGTGTGGAAACGCATATTGTCATCGTTGCAGTATTAACAGTAGGTGCCTACTTACTAATAGTATACCATAATATATTTTATGCGTTTTTCCCTATCATGTAATATTTATTGTTCGAATTTTTGATGTTATGATTTTAATATAGCAAACTATACGATCTAATGAATTTTATGATTGCTAAGTTACGACTGGTATAATGCAGTAGCGTCTCTATGAGGATTCTTTGAAGGGGTGATATACAATTTTTAATAGACATTCAGTACCTATACACAGGGCCGGATTTATGGGGGGGCCTCCACAAATTGAGGGCCCCCACTAAATGTTTTTTTTACATCCAAGTATAAAACACAATATAACATTTTCAAAACGGATTTAAATCACAACATGAATAAAAATATTCAATCATTGATATTGTCATAAATTTATAAATAAATGTTATTATTAATATTTAATAACTAATGAATTTATAGAAGTGAGTAGCTAGCTTACAAATGTGAATTTAAAATCGATTATTATGTTATTATGTTATTATTATCTTGTAGACTTGTAGATATTTTAATTAAAAACAGTTATAAATAAACACATATTATAACTTGTATAGCAAGCCGTACTGCCTTCACTGTAGGTAGAAAAAAAAAGATCGTAAAAACATGTTTTCGTAGTTCCAATAGTACTCAGGCCTAGTGGCTAGTAAGCCGTAGAAACATAGTTTTTATACCAAATTAAACACGAGAAGTTTATCTAATAACTGTTGGAATATATTTTTTAAATTTGTTTTCAAATTTTATTTGTTTTTGAAAAATTTGTAAAAAAATTAAGTGTCCGTCGAATATAACTGACTGTCCGACCGGGCGATATTATATTATGCGGGCCTACGGATACAATTCCACAAAATATAAGATTGATATTTTATGATATGTGAATATGTGATTATAACTAATAGTGCATAGGTAGGTACCTATTATAACCTAATAAATGTATTTACTATTTCATCACAACAAATCATTGTTTTTTCATAACCAAAATTCTGGTTATTAAATATATTATGTAGTTAATCGAAAAAAATATCTACTTCTAAAGGTGGGCCCAGGGCCCCCACATTCCTAAATCCGGCCCTGCCTATACATATATTATATACATAATATTATATACATGTTGTATTGAGTACAAATTTTGTCTCCGGGGTGGTATTACCCCTCTGTCCCTCACGTAGATACGCCACTGGTATAACTTTTTAGGGGGACACTATACGCATGTATCTTACGTTAGCCGTGCAAACGCATACCTAACATGTAAAATGTACGATCAGCAGAAAACGTTTAGCTCTGTTACTTTAAAAGTTAGAGTGAATAGAACATTAATCTTTATCTGTGTTTCAATGTGAGTTTTCTTAAGCAGATGGTTAAATTTTTAGCAAATTTTGAGTAGGTAGGTACATAATGTAGCACAAATAAAAATGCTCATAAATGCAAAAATATATCGTAAAAAACCCACGTACAAACACGGATAATGTTCTTACTATTATATTAACCTTCATAATAGGTAAATTCACTATGACATTGTTAAACTAACAAAGCCAAACGTGAACTTCTGAGCCTAAATTTGCTATGTTACGCATTTGTAAGACGGAGACAACAAATGAGTGTGAGGCATCCTTGAAGAGGATGTCGGGGCGCCAAAATTGTTTTCTCTCCAAGTCCTAAGACCAATATGGATAAATAGTGTAGGTATTCACGAATATCTTTTCTTTTCTTTTAAATTGTTGATTAATTGTAGGGTAAAATGGTCTATTACGAAAATTATAGATGATAATGTTTTTGGGGGTTCGAGCATCCGTGGGAGGCTTAAAATGCTTACCTTATCCTGCATTTGTGTAATCGGGAGATTGTAAACTCGGCCCGAGGAAAAAACATTTCCAAAAGGTCGATGGTAAACTCGGCCCGGGTTTTTTTCAGGTCAAAATTATTTAGATGTAAACTCGGCCCGGGTTTTTTTCAGGTCAAAATTATTTAGATGTAAACTCGGCCCGGGTTTTTTTCAGGTTAAAATTATTTAGATTTTAGATGTAAACTCGACCCCGATTTTTTTCAGATGAAAATGATTTAGGTGTAAAAACCATAATTTTTCTTATAATATTTTTGAGAAACATTTAGCATTACCCAGAGAACACCGGTTCTCATTATCCTTCAAAAATTATTTTCAGTTTCATATTATTATTAATAGTATGAAATTCGTTATTTAAATGAAAAATGTAATTAAAATGTTATAATATTGATAATAAAATAATTATAAATGTAATTATATAAATTGATAAGTGTAAAAACTAAAAATGTGTAAAAATATAATAAAAAATATATAAGTAAAATTGTAGTGTATATAATGAGTGAAAAATGTTAGTATAATAATATATAAATCTAGTTTTTTAAGTAAAAAGCCATGTATTTTACATATTCACTCACTGATATTTCTTTATTTTTATATTTTGTAAGTGTTCTTTCTAAGAGTTCTTTTTTTTTTAGTTTTTATATTTTGGAATTTAAATGGGCCATCTAGGCTGTTGATTTTAATGTACGTTTCTGTTTGTACTTTTTTTAATTTTGAGGTGAGTGGAATTAAAACTTGAATTAAAATGCGCATGAAATGATTCACATGCATTTGTTGTTAAATACGTTTCAACTGATGCACTGGCCCACATTTCAGGAGGAAACATAGAATCTGACACCTGACATTTTCGGGCCGAGTTTACAATCGATTTATTTTACCACCTGAAATTTCCGGGCCGAGATTACAATCTACCTATTTATATTACCTAAAATTCTCGGGCGCTTCAACCTACTGTCTAGTGGCTTCTCCTTCTTTATTCTAGCTGAGATACCAAAATATGTATAGGTACCTAGGAACATACATAAATAGATTATTGATAGCTACTAATTTTTTTTTTATTTCGATGTTATAAACCTATGCTTCGTACAAATATCAATGGTATTGGTATTAATACACTTAGATACACTTTTTTCTATGTACAAAATTGAGGTGTATTTGATATTAAAGATATCATATAGGTACCTACGCGTAATCTATTATTGAATTAATTATAATTTAAAATTAATGCACACAATACACATAGGTAAATCATATAAAATAAAAATTACAAATATAAAATTTATTTCGAAGTCTGGTCTGTATGAGTTTTTATAATATGATATTATTATAATATATTATAATTATTATTGGTATATTATTACGTAATGGCTAGGTAAGAGGACTTGTAGCATTTGTATATTTGTTTTGCACATTAAAAAACATTTTATTATTAAAATATTGACATTTTGATATTTTATTGAACTGAAATAGTAGTTAGGAAAATGTATTTTCAGTAGGTATTTAGGAGTTAAATACGATATAAATACATATGTTTCATAAATGTATAATGATATACCTGTCAACTGTTAAGTTGTCACATTACTTGAATTATTGAACCACCAAAATTCTATTACCTACGATTTTCAATATAAAAAAAGACTAGTTTTTCTAGTTGGTACTTTGGGGGGCAAAAGTTTTTCAGTTGTTTTCAAAAGCGGCGTGGAAAAAAAAATAAAAATTAAGGAAAAACGGGAATTTTTACAGTAAAATCAGTCAAAATCGATTTTGGTTTTTGGTGCAACTCTTAAACAAATTACCGTAGGTAACATGCAATTTTTACTGGTTGTTTATATTTGCATTTTCTATACACGATAACATTTTCAAAATATTTTGATTTATTTTGAACTGTTTAGGGGCATTATCATTTTCCATTTTTTTTTTAGTTTTTTTTCTAGAAATATCAATAAAATATTATTTGTTGGTTAAAAAAACTTGAAAATTTTTATAGAAGGCTCCTAGTATATTGTTTCAAAGGCAGATGAAAAATATTAAAAATCGTTATTCACAGTTTTTTTTTATAAGCATTTAAAGTTCAAAAATTGACAAAATATGGAAAAATCACGAATATTAGTAAATTATTTTGAGTTAAGAATTCGTAAAAATTTTTCTTTTTAATTCTAAGATTTGAAAATATAATACAAGATTCCTCATAAGATTATCTACCTTTATCAAACAAAAAATGTCTATTAGAAAGTCAAATTAAATTTTTATGAGCGTTTGAAATTCAAATTTTTACAACATTGGATGTTCACTCGATTTCTCATGTAGCGATTTCCTTATTTTGTTGTTATTCAAAAACGAATAACTGTAGATAGGTACATGAAAAATTCACTGAATGTTCATATTAGCATTTCCTATACACGTATAATTTTGAAAATATTTTGACTCTTTTTGAGCTGTTTATGGACATTTTCGGTTTTCAATTTTTTTAGTTTTTTTTTCTATAAATATCAATTAAGTTTTATCTGTTGGGCCAAAAAGTGTAAAAATTTAATACAAGGCTCCTGATATATTGTTACAATAGCAAATGAAAAATGTTAAAAATACATAGGCACAATTTTTTTTTATAAGCATTTAGAGATCGAATTTTGACAAAATTTATCAAAATCTCGAAAATTATCAATCATTGTAATTAATAAATTATAAAATGTTCAGTTTTTAAAGTTAAGGATTGCAAATTTAAAACAAAGGTTCTCATAAATAGTTCATACTGTAACCAAAAAATCTAAAAAATATATGAACACACTCTCAACACAGTTATTTTTTACAGACATTATATAATTATGTAATCATATAATAGGTAACTACTAAATACAATGCATTTGAAATATATAAATATAAAAATCCTAGTTCCATAAACTGTTAGATATCGTTGTAGCTTTTAAAAATTATTTTAATAAATGCAAAACAGATATTAAACAAAAATAATATTTTTTAATTATAAAATTATAAAAAAATATCTCATTGAATCTTAGTCAATAATATTATTAAAAAAGGTGCTCCGCTGTACAGTAGGTTACAAGTAAAAAATAACCAATGGCAATCCTAGAACACAGTTATTTTTTACAGACATTTTAAATTCAAATTTGGACGAAATTACATATTAAAAAACCTATCCGCCCACTGCACCTGCCTTATTTTTAATTACCCTTAAGTAATAGTTAGTAAGAAACTAAGAAATGCCCGATTATATGTGATCCTCGTCGGTCATTGCACCACACCGAACTGACCAAGAGGACAACCCCACCCAACACTTATTAAACTGCTTCCGTCCTGTCATAACTTCCGTCTTTCCACCACAGGTTGCCGGTCCTACGTTTCAGGCAAAGCAAACGGTCTGATAAGTTGCCTACCCACTCAGGTTAAGGGGCAAATCTATCCTGTAAAAGAAGTTGCCTATACACCACCCCTTACGGGTATAAAGTGTCGTCTGATCGAAGTAGATCCAAGTAGCACCTTTGCCCATTACAACTATCCATTATACAGTGACAGACTTGTAACCTACTGTACAGCAGAGCGACACCCACTTGCCCATCTTTTTACATTTGTTTATACTTTGTATCTATTTAATAGTAGTTGTAAATTGTAATACCTTTTATCACTATTATGTCTATGTTAAAAACTTTCATACACTACTTGTGATATTCTACCGCAGATTATAAAATGTAAAATATAGACAGTCATTTTTAGAAAAATTTTTACTAAAAGTGCATTTTATGTTTGTCATTTTAAATAGAGTAAAAATAATATATTTTTTAAATAATCAGAAAAATCTAATTTAAATTGTTATACATATAATATAAACCAATTAAATTTAATAATGGCCTATTAACCCATACACTATTATATACCAAATTTTAAATGCAAAGAAAATATAAGGTTAATATAACTATGATGAAACAAAATAACTAATATTGTTGAGTAGGTATTTGAAAATAAAAGTAAAAATAATATAAAATATAATAAAAATATCAATAAATTGGCGTATAAAAAAAAATATAGTAGGTGAAATTGGTACCCACATAGTATTGTATAATGTAAATAATTGTTTGCAAATTTATCGTTAAATCAATTCCTATTAAGACTGCATTTTATGTTTGCCATTTTAATAAACAAGGTTTAAAAATTTTTTTAAATACAGTTAAAATAATATATTTTTTAAATAATCAGAAAAATCTAATTTGAATTGTTTTACATATAATATAAACCAATTAAATTTAATAATGGCCTATTGACCTGTACACTATATACCAAATTTGGAAATACAAAGAAATTATAAGCTCAATATAGCCATGGAAAAAACAAAATAATTTATAATGTTGAGTATTTGAAAATAAAAGTAATAAAAATATCAATACATTGACACATATAAAAAATAATGTAAATAATTGTATGTAAATTTTTATTTAGAATCTGGGTTTAAATAAACCTCAGTATTATTTTTTATATAAGACTCATTCTTATTGTGAACAGCAGTTTTATAATTTATTATCATCATCAAAATTATTGTCTTGAATGTTCAATTGCAATATTTTATTGAACCGATCAAATGTGTTTTCAATTATCTTTTTTTCTTCTTCATTCCACTTATTATTGTTAATTAATTCTTTAACATTTGTAGATAAATCGTTCAGAAAATCATTTGGTTCTAAAAATCTGCCAACATTAAACAATGAACGAACAAACTGAAATTAGAAATAATAATTATTTCACTACAAAACATAATAATAATATCATCAACTGTTATTAACACACATTAGTTTTAACAAATAATAAATTCTACTCATAAATAATAAATTAAAATAATATTAGATTTTACTTTAACCTAATTCTCAAAATGTATAATTATATGTAATATTTTTATTTTTTAATGTTTTTTAAAATTAAAAAATAAATGTTTTATTTAAATAATTCACCAACCACTAATTACTAATACTTAATTTGATATATTAATACACCAAGAGATATATAAACGAAAACAATAGAATGAAAATATGCCCATAACTGTTAGGAATATTAAAAATACAGTTTAAGAAGTGTTAAATTGTATACCAAACTGCTTGGTAAATAAACAAATATTATTAAAAATGACATTATAATAACTTGATATAGGTACATAACAATGAACTTGGAAAACATGGAGGTGAGTAGCTCCCTTAATAATATGTAAGCATCTTTTGGAGATTTGATAGGTACAAAGTATTTTTTATATTTACTTACCATTAGTTTACGTTTTTTAATAACATCTGCAATGTCTTGATCAATATAAAATTTTAAATAGTGCATCATTTCTTTTGGATTTTTCTCACAGTAGTTGTAATATATCAATATATGCATTAAAATATTAACCCTTTTATTTGGACTTGGAAAAACATCATACAAATCATTTAATGTCTGAACATAAGGAAATTTATCGACAGATTGTAACAGGCATTCTACTTTTATTAACTGCAATGAGCTATCGAAATTACCATAAACCATTCCACGAGAGAAATACGTCTTAGCTTTTTGATAATCCTGAAACAAAATGAAAATAAAAATAATTTTTTTCCCAACAATCCATTTTTAAATATCATACTTTTTCACGGTCTAGATAATATCTGCCTATAGTTAGATGCACACAACTATTTTTAATATTTGTCAGTCTTGTAATTATATTGTCTATAAATTCTTGTGACAATAAATATTTAGGATAGTGTAGACAATGCATCAGTAATACAGGATTTTGTTTGTCCATATTCTTCTTTACCAAATCAATTGTTTTTCTATCAAAATACACATACATATAAATTGGTTTAATCAACAAAAAAATTGAAAAATTAATAAACCAAAAAGGATTGGAAAGCATTAAATAGATTTTGTTTGATTGAATAATTGTTGAAAATTAATTAATCACTAAACAAAAGTTATTTCTTGAAAAGCCACTATGTATAGAACATAAGTGAGTCATATTAATTTTGTAATATAATTTTTAAGTACTTACACTGAAAAAATACTTACTTAGCAATAGCAGAGGAAAGCTTATAAAAATGTTGTGATTTTCTATGGTTGTTGTTAATTTTATTAATAAATCCGGTTTCCTTAAAAGTCTGATAAGCTTGAATTAGAAGTTCAGGCTTTGATTGTGTATCATATAACTTCAAAGCAGCACCAATTTCATCATCCCCAGGTATTTTATATGGTTCATCACGATGTCTTACTCGTTTTTTGACTTTTAACCAAATGATTATCCATTCAGGTTCAGTACATGCTTGACTAGCCAATTCTAAAGCAATATAATTTCCATTTGGAGGATAAAGCATAAAAATGCTGGCTTTTACGGCACAAATAGCAGCTTTCTCAGCTTCATTAAAATTGTTAATTGGTTTAACATCACTCAGTAACTAAAATAAAAAAAATAGTTTTTATACTATCAGGTCACATCCTATACTAATAGTCAACAGGGCATAGGCCATATTATTGATAAATTGATTATTTTAATATGTGTAATATATTTTATAATGTGTTAGATTATCTTGTTAACAAAATATGTTTAAAATGGTTTTATAGACTATAATAATAAATTGTTATGCACATTATATTATAAACAAAATCATTTATAATAATACATATGTCTTAAAGTTTAAGTTATTTATAAACTATATTAATAAGCAGGGCTCTCCAACCAAATTAATTCATAAAAATAAAACTTGAAACATGTTTAACCAGTGTTGATGAAATATAAGCACCTAATTTATTAATCATTTAAGCCTGAATAAAATATTAAGGGTTAAATATAACTTAATTAAACAACCAATTTTTTAAACAATCAATTGATACATTTATTTATTTATTTTTGTACTTTTTGGAACTGAATTAGTAGTTAGTACTGATAGAAAAATAGGATGGTTACACTGTTTAGTGTTTGTATTGATGGATTTCTTACACTTAATAATTTGTTTATCTAATGTTAAACTATTAGCATTTAGTATTTACTTATTAGGTAAGTCGTAAGTATATTTAATAGTAAAAATAATAAAAAAATACCTGCTGGCTACCAGAAAAAGGTTCTAATTTTAAGTTACTAATTAACTATTTCAAACTAACTATTTATTGGTATAACAATAATTAACGTATGTCACAATGATGTGTTTTTTTTTTTTTGTATACGTTTACATTGTTTTATAGTAGGAAAGTGAATATTGTTTAATCTTTTGGGAGGTCAAAAAGAAAAATTTCCAGTATTTATCCAAATAATCGTGAAAAATAAAAACTAACAATGAAATTGGATTTTTTGAGCAAATCCAGTTTTCAATAAAATTTATTTAGTTTATTGGTTGTAATTAAAAAAAAATCTACAGCTGATATTTTACTAAATTTGGTATAATTTCAAAAATATTTTGGCTCATTTGTGCTATTATAGAATAAGATACCTATATCAAATTGTCAACTTTTTTTTTAGTTTGATGTTTAACCCGTCAGTGGTCGCGATGTGAGCGCGGCGCTCACCTAGTTAGTATTTTGAGAGCCATTTGTTTATTTATTACTTGATTCATCTGATACTATTTATACCTTCAATCAACACATATTTAAGTATACTTTTGCAAATATAAAAATTGTATGAATAATTCTTGATCAGATATCGACATGCAATGTTGTTAATATCCATAAATTCAGCGTTTCACTCACTCAATAGGTCAACCAAATACTTTTTCGTAAACTCAGACCTATTTTTAAGTAGCACCCAACATTTATATGTGTACTGTATAATAATCAGCAAAATATTCTAGACCACTAAGGCGAAGATGAATGATAATGATTATCTTATTATATAATTATGTATAAAAAATTATAAATTCATTTTTAGTGGTTAACAATTTATAATCGAGAAAAATTGTAAGAACATTTTTTGTAAAAGATTAAACTATAAATAATTCGTTGTTGGTTTCAATATTTTATGTTCATTATATAATAAACTAGCTGATCCCGTGCACTTCGTTTCCCGTTAAATGTACCAACTCTATATGACTCAAACATTGTTCAATGCGTTATTTAATATTCAGTGTATGATGTTCTAGATTTATCTTAACTTTTCTGTTGCCCGGAATAAAAATTCTGTTTCGCAGCAGTATATTATCAGGTAGGCAATTTACCTGTGGTAGATCGCGGACCCCGTGCTGTTTGTACAAGTGTATGATTCAACTCAAAAAGTACCAAAGTTATACCAAGTTTGACGTTTTGACTTAATTCCACATACCTATAAATCCTAACCTGACCTCACCGTAATAAAATCCGATGAATAAAAAAAACCAAATTTAACCCTTTTTAAATTAGCGTATCTTCTTCCCATAGGTCTAATCTACACACCATCATTCATTTATATATAAGATATATTGACAAAAAATAATAATACATATCAACAAACATGCCTGATTAACCAATAGCAACCAATATAATATAATACACCATAGAGTAAATAAAGACAACGGTATCGAGTTCAAATCCCAGACATCAATAAATAGTTATTGCAGTTTTTCTAATTATTCAGTTGACTTTTTAAAAATTTTCCTTCGTAAAAACCTTCACCTATTAATTACGAACATCTTAAAAAAAATTGAGACAAATCGGATTGATTGAAAAAGTTCATAGATAACATAAAACGATAATGTTTCAAAATAAAATGAATAATGTGCCAACTATTATATTTGTTTACTCTAAAGTTATAAGTGTCTATAATAAAAAATGTATATCAACCAGAATATAAAAATATTTTTTTTTTCGATTTTTATTATTATTTATATTATATTTTTATTTTTATTTTTATCCGCTAGAGGGCGCCACCGGTGTAACTCAGTTTTTGTCTCTAAATCTCTAACTAACATGAGTTAGGTCCATAATTTATGCTATAAACCCGCTCACCGACATTCTCTATCATTTAAAAAAAATTTGAGCAAAATCGGCCCAGCCGTTCTCAACTGATGCCATTTCAAATTTTTTGTCTCCATTTTTATATATATAGATAATGATGAAAAAACAACAAGGTGAGCGCAGCGCTCACTCAATACCAATGGCGGGACTTTACATAGCGATACCAACGACGGGTTAATAATATGTTCATTTGCGTGTATAAACTCTATATAGTAAATAAGTTTTTCTACATCAAATAAAAAATATAGAAAATGGTCGCAATTTTTTTTTTTTTTGTAATCATTCTTTTCATATTTTTATCGAATTTATCAAAATAACAGATATTCTCAAATTATCTTTTATCATAAAATTAATACATTTTTTTATTTAAACACCTTAGTTTATTTACTGGAAATTAAGAAAATTAGATTAGTGCAAAGTTGCAATAATTTTTACCTCAACTTAATTATATATGTATAGCAAAAGCCATACATAAACATGTATATCCACACCACTATCAGGCAGTAATTAATATACTCACTTACCTAGTTAAACATAAAACAATAATTAATATTTACCTTTTTTGAATCAATCTTCAGTGTTGATGCAATAAACGCTTTGGTGGCCCGTGCAATATGATGGTATGCATCAGAGTACTGTTGGTTTGACTCGTCAAATTTACACGTTTCCATGAATGTAACCATAGTTTCAATTTCCAAATATGATTCCATATATCTTTTGCTCATATAATGTTCATAAATGGTAGTTAATTGTAAATAGAATCTAAAAAATACAATAGTTTTATTCGGCATATTTTTTCTACATTTATTATTCAATTATATTTTGTATTTATAAAAATATAAGTATAAAGTGCATACAATATTAGGTTTATAAAATATTGCACTTGTTTACAAAATGAATATAAGACATGAGAGCCTGAAGTCTTTATATAAATCTATAGCCTAAATATAGACTTAATAGGTATAGATTAATATACATCAACCTATTTATCAAACAATATAAAACATTATCAATACTTAAAACAATTTATTACAGTACCTAGGTATATGGACATAGAAAAAAATTATTTCATAATTTAAAGAAAATCACAGTTTACACTTCTCAGTTACCTAGAAAAATTGAATTCATCGTCCTTGCCATCCATGATGATCATTTCTAGGTTTTCTTGTACTTTATCAATTATGTTTTGATCGAATTCCGATGATTGAATGATGTCCCACGAGAAAACGCTTTCGAAATCATTTTTGATTTTTCTTAGCTGTGCCTGAATGTTGTCGTCCAATCCGGGTTCTATAGAGTGGTCATCGGCTACAGACAAAGCGCCCATCGCGTCAGACAAGTTACTGCTATGTCCAGCCATTTTTCAGCGCTTAAAACACGAGTATACTAAATCGACAACAAGATAAATTTTATTAGTGCCACATTTGTGTAAACATACTTTTTATTCATGATTAGTGCATTCAATATTTCGATCGATATATTTTACAACAACCGTGCCAAAATTATGATCTCCAATATTTATACAACGTCTACTGTCTAAGGTCGTACAATCAAATAAATGTCTCGATAAATGTATAATCATTAACCTCCTAGCGGTCGCGCTAGCGGTGTTTACACCGCACCATTGGGAAAAACCATTTTATTTAATTATACTTATCGATAAGATTAGTATGACCCCCTGCTATTCCTACACCATGTATTTATAAACATAATGCAATAGTTAATTAATAATTAATAATTATTTTTTAATATGCACAATATTATGTTAAAATAAAGTTATTTGATAAATTGAATTGTTTGTAAATGCCATTGTAAATTATTCCTTACGTGTATTATGCAAAATATAAGATAACAGTTCTAAAAATCTACACTAAAAATAAAGAAATAAAATAGCGGTGTTAACTCCGCGGCGCGACTGCCAACGAGATTTTCATAGGCGCGACCTCTAGGAGGTTAAACAATAATCATATAAGTACTTAAGTAATAATTACCTATTCAGTATTCAGTAATAATTAATTAATATGAATAATAATGAACTATTATATATATATAATTATTATGGACAGCTTAGTTGGTGGCCGTGGCCCAGCAACCCTCTTAGAAATTTCATTAAAACTTAAAATTGCTTGCAATATTTTGTGAACATATCACATGTTTATGTAACGCCGTAACCAATAATCATGTATTTAATCATGGTTAATGTAATTTTTGTGGAGGTTGCTGCAAGTCTAAAATGACATACCCACTAGTAATGGGCCCACCGGCTACCTTCCAAGTATACCTAACAGGCGACATCATTCGTTTACGATACTTTTTGGGCGGTCAAGACAGAAAAACGATTACAACCGACGACAAAGCGTATAATATCTAGGTATAAATGTATAATGGCTTTGGCAAGTACACCTAGAGACTGGAGTATCAGCCTGGACGGGGCCCGGGCCCCTGCTAATGAGATGTTTGGAAAAGTGAGACGGTTCTGGCCCCGCTCGGTCGGCAATCTACATCAATATTTAATCTGTAAAATATAATGTAGGTAGGTACTTACTCATAGCCGTGCTAAGGGGGTGGCAAATGGGGCAAGTGCCTTAGGGCGGCCAAACTTGTAGCATTTTAAAGGGCGGAAAATGTCTAAATATGTATGTTTATTAGAAGAGCCAAATATTATTGCCCTAGGGCACCAATGAGAGTTTGCACGGCACTGTACTTACTTTGGCACGTAGTAATTATTGTAGAATTGTGAACAGATTAATTAGATTGTAATATCCATTGTACTCATCGAATACCTCAATGAACGACTGGCGAGGAATGACTACGATGTCACTGCTGCCACAGAACAAGACAATACTACTACAACAATACTGTAGGGTAGGTATACATTAGAGTTTTACTCGCTACATTATACGTAAAGTTACTACTTACTTTACTTACCTACTTTTAGTAGTGACCAGTGAATCGTGCAGTGTCGTAGTAAGATCTCACTGACAAACGCGATAAATTGAGTCATGCGGTTAAAGCACCAAGTGAAGCCCGTTTCAGTCGGGATTTATTATATGTTATCTATGGTCGGGACTCGGAAATCAGTCGACTGCGCAACAAACAACAATATTGAATATTATTTATTATTTCAATTGATAATTATTATTGATATTACGTCCAACCAACAAAAGCGTACCGCACCGTAATATTAATCTATTTCTGGTCCCGTCCCCGCCCGGCGCACACTGCAGCACTGCTATCTGCAGCAGTAGCGCGGGTGTCGCGGGGGTGTCTTGTGTTGGTGGTAAAAACGCAGCCGGTACAATAAAATATTATTTACCGGCACTGCGGTCAAGACAACAATGAATAGAATCTTACGGGATAACACCAGTGCTACGACTACGACTATATACTACTATGAACTTGTATTACTCCGAAAAAAAATTTTTATTGTCAACCATAATTTATACTGCTCCGATATCAATTACTTCGAACATATATTACTACGATATTATATTATATTACTCCGACATATTTGGATTTTACCGATAGAATTGCTACGATTTCTCACGCGACTCTTGCGGGAAATGATAATAATAATATATAAAACGTCCGCTCAGGTTGACAATACCCTTCAATTAGATGACGTAGCGTACCTACCGCGACTGCTATATGTATAGTGATTAATTTCGAAACGGATCTCCGAGCCCGAGGACCTCCCGACCGGGCCTTCTCGATTGGGGAATAGTAAGCATTCCTACACGGTAAAAACCAGGTATATGTATGTGGGTTCCTACACGACGGAAAGAGGTACATAATATTATGTATTTACACAGTTAAATATTATATAATAATAATAATAATCTTTATTAACGGAAATTTAATTCCAAATTCCAAATTACATTTTTTTTTTTTTATATAAAATATAATACAAAATGTTTATATCTATGAGTTTATAATGATATAGGTATGAATTTATAATTTACAAAAATAATTTACAACAATTTTAAAATTTATCGAAAGGTATACACAGAATACAAAGTAATACATGAAAAACTTAAATAAATAATAAAAACAAAAACAAAAATCTTTATAATTTTTTATTTTATATATCTTAATATTTGAACAGAAAATTCTGTCAAAGATGTATGAAAAAAATCAATATTTTCAACAAAATTACCAGCTAACATTAGAATGTTTGACCGCGAATTAGACATGTAGGACGTGGTTACAGTTTTTATGTAAAATAAGTTTTTTTTTCTAGAATTTTTTGCATTTATTTTAAAATTTAAGTTTTGGAGTATTTCAGGGCAATCAATCATATTATTTATTATTTTGTATAAAAATTTTAGTTTTATTTGAAGAAAACGGGTTTAAAGCGAAAATATGTTAAAAATACTTGATTCCACTTCGTAATCTGAATGTGGAGTAAAAAAATGAACGTATATATACATGACATTTTCACTGGTAGCTTATATTTGCATTTTCTATACATGATAAAAATTTCAAAACATTTTGATTTGTTTTGAACTGTTTAGGAACATTTCCAGTTTATGTATACCTATGTCATATATTTCTGTTACACCCTGTATATACCTGCATTCCCGGCGCTACTCATTTTATATCAGTAAAAGATGAAAAGGAAAACAATGTGCAAAGAGATCGGAAAATTGAAATGCAATAATAATTAAAATATTTTTCATAAAATGTATGATATTAATAATTAAAGTCGAAATGCAATATTCCTTAAAGTATTTTTCACAAAATTGAATTGCAAAATGTTTTAAAAATCCCTTGAAATTTATGAATCATTATCAGTTTTTTAATAGAATTGTTCAATCAAAAAAAAAAGTCTTACAACAAACTACTTTAAATAGTGATCATTTCAATCTCTCATTATATGATCCGATAGTATTCATTACGAATTTCCTTAAAATAACTAATTATTTTCTTAAAATACATGTAATTCTATACTATTCGCAGATGATTGAACTTTTGATAAGTCTTTTAATATTTGTTCATAATCTTCGAACATATTTAAAAGTCTTTACAATTTTCCATTTCTATTATTTATATCAGTAAATATATTTTTTTTTAGCATTGTAATATTAAAAACATACATCAAATCGTCTCTAATTCATTTTAATTTCTAATTAGTGTATTGAGATGGTTTAAAAAATCATTTCTATCTATATATTTTGTTTTATAGGTTAAATATGTATATACGAATTTAAAAAAATAAATATATCGCACTGCTGAAAGAATAGTGACACAACTCAAAGTTGTTGATTTTCGGGTTTTCATTGATTCTAATATAAAGTGCGCTGCTCTTTATTTTAGTTAATATAATTAATATGTTATTTCACTCGAACTGACTTAAAAACTGTAATATGTCATTATTCTTGCTGAACGTTTTCATTACTTTCGTGCTAGAATAGTGTCACAACTCAAAATTATTTTTGTTTTTTGAGTTGTGACACTATTCCTGATTCATTCGACACAATATTATGTTCAGCAAAACGACACATTGTATTATAGTTTTACAATTTTTATTCAATCTTTATAGTGTGGAAACTAGTGGTTAGTGACTTGTATATAGTTAGTAGGTATAAGACGTATACGTAATCCTTATCTTCAACTACTAGAATTTAATTTTAAAATCCTATTAATAGCACAAATCAGATATTATACTATTATTATTACAATAATATATAACATGTTAAATTCACATTACTCAATTTATACTATCATAGATTTTGTATTATCATTTATCAACATCTTGATATGATAATCTATTTACTGTGGTCTATGATTTAAACTTTCTATACAATTTATAACCACTAATAATTGTGGTATAAAATTATAAACACAGTAACAAATATTTTCAGTTGTTCGATTAGGTGTAATAACATTATATTTGTGATACTAATATGAATTGCTTATCTAATGTCTATGTTGTATTATGATATATTTGATCATTAATTGAAGTAAGTAAATACATATTTTGAGTAATTTAATAAGTCGTATAATATTACCTACATAGTTAAACATGAAGAGTAGCAGAGCCAAACTTATGATTAAACTTGGACAAAGTAGATAGCCAACAAGTAAGTTATATCTAATATATAATTTTGATTACTTACTGAATTAAATATACAAAAAGTAACACATTTTTATTATAATTTGGTGTGCAGGAGTATAATAGTATCAACGTGAAACAAATACGATCGGAGAAAATACATTTATAATTAACTATGAGCTACCAAACACTGTAAGTACATTTTCTGATGTATACAATTAATTAATTAGGATTCATATATTATGATGATTAAAAAACATAATGCAACATTTTATATTTTATAAGACTTATTTCTATAACTTCAA